ACGGTAACTGGCCCTTAATTGTCTTGTAATTTTGAGAAATAACTGATTTCACATTTATGTAAAAACTCACAAAATTGCAATGCAAAGAGGGAACTTTGTGCCAGCAATCAATTGTAAGAGGAATAGTGACTGCTGCTCTGGGCAAATAAGTAATTATTTTGAATTTTCGCATGAGTTCATTTAAAAAAGTATAATTAAGAAAAGTAGTACAAAAGCAATAACATATACTAACAAAAATGAAAATAAAAAAAAAAATGCAAAAAGAGAAAAAATTTAGTAACACTTTATAAACAAAGTTGAAAGGGATTTCTTAATATTTTTATTTAATTTTATTCCTGCAAAATTTAAAAACAAAAAGCAATGAAAACTTTATTTACAAAAAAAAAATTAACAAGAGTTAGTAATAAGGTTCCATAGATAATCATTTTCGTACAAACCTCAGAAAAGAAAAAAATGTCAGCATTATCTTAATGTTTTCCACAGAGATTTCAGTTACTCTAGTATAGCGAAAGCACATCGAAAGCTCTAAATTTGATACAATGCTATGCGGTTAAGGGAACTTTTTTCTTCCCCAAGTTGATTTCATGAAAAGGGCGCTGATACAAGAATTCAGATTGGCAGCCATGGAGCTACAAGAGGAGGGAAATGAAAAAGCAAACCAAGTACACAATAACACCATTAAGGGCATCTAAGCCTCAGGTAATTTACAGAGTAGGAGAGTAAATTTTGTGTGTGTGGTTACTTTGAGACATGAAAGGAGCAACTCAATCGCGATATTATTTTTGTGAGAAAGAAATACACAATTCGAAATAAATTCGTGCTAAAGGACATTAAAAAGCAATAAATTAGAATTTAAACAGATAAAATAATATAACAATTATAATAAATAAAATAAATAAAAACAAAATAAAAAACAATATAACAAGACTAAATAAATAAACTAATATAAATATAATAAAATAAAATAACCTAAACTCAAAAATAAAATCCAATAAAATAAATTTAAATAACAATTTAATTAATTTTAACAATTAAATTAAAAAAATAAATTAAAATAATTAAATAAAATCAAACAAGACAAAATCAAATAAAATAAAATTAAATTGAATTAAAAAAATATAAAAAAAATAAAAAAAATATATTAATTTACAATAAATTAAATAATATTGTATAAAATAAAGTTAAATTATGTGAAAATAAAAAAAATAAAAACAGTAAAAAAAGAAAAGTAAAATACAATAAAATAAAATTAAATATAAAAATCAAATTAAATTAAAATACATGAAGTAAATAAAAATAACAAAACAAAAAATTTAATAAAATTAAATTATTGAAGTTATTAAAAAAAATTATAAATAACTTAAAATAAAACAAAAAAATAATATGAAAAAAACGCAATAAAAATTATAAAAAAATTAAATTAAATTAAAATTCAGTCTGTTAAATTAAAATAAAATAAAATGGAACAAAATAAAATAAAAAAAATTGAATTCAAATAAAGCACAACTTTGCTTCCGCCGTTTTCCGATAGGTGGCGGTACCGGCTGAGGCTGGTTGAAATACATAGATGATAATGCCTTTAAAGTGAATGTGGACAGTGCCTAACGAATTGTCATCGCCGTTTCAGTGACGGTTGTTCTTGTCCGTTTGTGTGCCCAATTCTCGCCATTTGCGGGAAGTTTTACTTTTCGAATGCTCTCAGAAACTTACGGTGATGCTGCCCTGAGTGAAAGAACGTGTCGGGAGTGGTTTCAACGTTTTAAAAATGGTGATTTCGACGTCGAAGACTTACATGGTCGTTATGATTTGTATTTGATGGGATCAGCTCGGTGTGATTTACTACGAGCTCTTAAAACTGGGTGAAACCATCACAGGAGATCGCTACCGAACGCCACTAATGCGCCTTAGTCACGTGGTAAAAGAAAAGCGGCCCCAATATCAAGAGCGATATGACAAAGTCATCCTCCAACACGACAATGCTCGGCCTCACGTCGCAAAAGTGTTCAAAAAGTACCTGGAAACGCTGAAATGGGAAGTCTTGCCCTACCCGACGTATTCCTTCTGACTTCCACCTATTCCGTTCGGTGGCACTCGGCCTGGAAGATCAACTTTTTTAATTTTTCGAAGAATTGGAAAAATGGATTGCTTAATGGATAGCGTCAAAAGAGGACTACTTTTTTCGAGCCGGGATCCGAAAATTGCCGGAAAGATGGGAGAAAGTTGTCGCTAGCGAAGGACAATATTAATATACTCTTTTCGCAGTAAAGCTTTTAATTTCGGCAAAAAACGGCGGAAGCAAAGTTGTACACCTGAAAAAAAATAAATAAATTTAAAAAAAAGAAAATAATAATAAATTAATTAATTTAAAACAAAGTAAAATAAAATAAAATATAATGACACAAAATAATAAAAAATTTAATTATTATTTAATTAATTAAATAAAATAATTTAATTAAAAAAAATTAATATTTAATTTAATTAAATAAAATAAAAAGAGAAAAAATTATTTTAAATAAAATAAATTTAAATAAAATAGAAGAAAACAAAACAAAATAAAATAAACTAATTAAAATTAAATAATATAAAATAAAGAAACTATAACCTACTAATATGTTATTAAAACCTTAATAAAGAATGGACATGCCGGCAAAGCCATATTTATATGTATATGGATATATTATATTTATATATATAATTGGCACTTTGTAACGATTGATACGATTTTCGCCAAAGCTTCTAATTCAATTGTGTGGTATTTCTCTTGTTGGTTTATAACAAATGAAGGGACCCACAGTTTATTGAAAGCCGCCTCCGATCGGCTGATGAATTTGTGAATAGCACTTAGTATATGTCAAAGATATGATCAGAGGGATTCACAGCCCTAACAAAGCGTCAATTATTTTTTAAATTATATTTTCAATATGTCATAAAAAATTTTATGAAAAATCAAAAAAAAAATCGTATGCCGGCAAAGCTGAACGAATCAAATAAATCAGTAATTTTTAGTCCTTTTTTGATAATTAGCCATTTTTCAAAGCCACGGTTTCAAATAGCTCATGAATTGTTTTGTTTTAAAATCAGTTAAATACTTTAACATTTTTTTTTTTTTGAAATCTACTATTGAACTAAAACAGCTACAGCTCTGTTGCTGCTAGTTTAATTTTTCCATGTCGCACGATTTTTTTTTTTTTGTTTTTTAAAGATTTTCAACACTCCACCATATTTGTATCAAGCGGTAAATTATCTCACTTATTCACCAATATCATTACAAAAAAATTACCGCTATAAAACTGCGCAATTTTTTATGAGCTGGAAAAAGTGTCGGCAAGTTTTCGAAAACGCGCCCGATTTCATAGGAAGCTCAACCTCAGCCACTTGTGCAGAGTCAATTTCACGGACGTTCACTTACGCTGTCGAAACGAAACTACTACTTGTTGGACGATTGTTATGATTTGTTTGTCATAAGCGAAAGGCGGAAAGTTACCACTGTGGTGGCGCCGAAAGAAACCACAGGCATTTTTTAGCGCAATCACAGCTAATAAGCAGACGAAGATGCTGAGTTTGTGATTTAAGAGATGATGGTGGAAAATGGATAAACAAGTGTAAAAGAGTTAAAGAAGACTTTTCTCTTTTCTTATTTCAAGCTTTGGCGAAGCTTAATTTAAGAGCTTTAAAAGCTTTATGAGGTTTTCGCAACCAGAAGCTTTTTGTGTAATGAAGCTTTTCATGTTACTCATACGCCGTGTATAAATGGTATTTAGTTACTTTTAAGATAAAGATTTTCATATTAAAAAAGGTTTTTAAACCCGATTTGCGGTGTTGCTGGTCGGTATAGACTTTACATTAAAAAAATTTAACCACATTTTCAATTATTTTTTCCAACTGATTTGAACTTCAAATAACTGAGCAGAAAAGAACTCAGTAACTAACATTTTTAAAAGTTTTGGATAAAAAAAAATTTTAGAATATTTTTCAGATACCCCAGAATTATATTCAAGATATTTAAATATATCATTGTTCTTAAGAACCGCCCAGCAAATACCGTTTTCTGCATACTGCTTAATGAGGTGAGACAAATTGGTCTGATATTATTGGTAGGTTCGTCTACCTAGCAACGAGCATTAACACCCTTAACAAAGTCAGCTTGGAAATCCAATGTAGACCCATTCTTGCCGACAGGTGCTACAATCGAAAGGTAAAGTCTCTCAGTATTGCCGTCCAATTTTATGGGGCAGATGCTTAGGCGTTGACCGATTTCTATTATCTGGCTTTTGAGACGGTGGGCAACGCAGAGGACGGATATGTATTGATATATACGGCAGCTCAAAAGGCGGGGGCTACATTAGATAGGTCATGTTATTTGAACGGATGAAAGCACTCCAGCTTTGAAAGTATTCGATGCAGTACCCGTGGAGAGTAAAAACTCCACTCCGTTGAGCAGGATCAGGAGGTAGATGACCTGACCTTACTTGACATCTTTAATTAGCGCAGAATGGCAAAAATAATAGACGAATTTTTCTGAATATTTTCATTTAAAATTCGAGTGGTTCGAGTCCTGATTCGACCAACATCCAAAATCATAGAAAATTATTGTTTTTATTTGCAGCCACCTCTCGGTGTATTGTATTTCTGTAATGAAATAAAAACTCCTCCTAAAGTCGATCGGCTGTTCGGAAGCTGCTTTGAATTTACTGCACATCCGTTCATTTGTTGAAAAACCATCAAGACGCAGACCACAATTTGGATTAAAAACTCGCCCGAAAAATCGTTTCACCAATTACAGTGGACAAATTCGTATTCGTTTTTCTATTTGACACGTTTTCGTATACCTATTCGACTTCGGATTCATATTTGAACTCATTTTCATATTAGTATTCGTCATCATATTTGTAATTGTTTTCGGATTGGCACTCATATTCGTAATCCTGTCGGTATTCATATTCGTATTGACGTTCGCAGTCGAATTTGTATTCGCGTTCATGTTAATATTTGTATTCGAATTAGCATTTGTACTCTTTTTTATTTACTTTTACGTCTTCGGCCTCGTAATTTGCATTCATATTCGTAATCAAGTTCTTCTTCGTATTGACATTCGTAAACGAATTTGTATGGCAATTCGTATTTGAACTGATATTCATAATCGTATTCGTATTCATATTCGTAGTTGTATTCGGATTGGTATTCATAATTGAATTCGGGTTGGTATTCGTATTCTTATTCGTACTAGGCTTAATATTTCTATTTGTATTTGTACTCGTCTTTGTAATCCCTTCTGTATTAATATTCGTATTGACGTTCGCACTCCAATTTTTATTCGTAATGGTACTCATAACCATAATCCGTTCCGTACTCGAATCTGTATTCGTATTGGTGCTCGTTTTCCAATTCGTCGTCGTATTTGAATTCGCATTCGATTTCGTTTTCATTTTATATTTCTCTTCGTATTCGCATTTGTAACCATATATGAAAACGTATTCGTATCGGTATTCGTAATCGACTTAGCATTGGTATTCGTATTCGTACTTGTTTTCGTAGTCCTACTCGTATTTTAACTGATTGTAGTCATTTACGGATTGCCATTCGTAATCGAATTCGTATCCAGGTTCGTTTTCATATTTCTATTCGTATTGGCATTCGTTTTCTCATTTTTTATTTTTCTATTCCTATTAGAATTTTTACTTTTATTCTTAGTACTGTTCGTACTCGTGTTTATATTCGTATTCGTCTTCGTATTCTTATTCGTACTCGTATACGTTTCCGTATTCCTATTCTTGTTCGTATTCTTACTCGTGCTCGTATTCGATTCCGAATTCCTATTCTTATTCGTATTCTTACTCATACTCGAATTTGTTTCCGTATTCCCATTCCTCTTCGTATTAGCAATTGTGTTCTTCATTATTTATATAATATATACATATGCAATAGCATAGGGAAACCAAGAAAATGCCGCTACGACGCCAATCCCGAAATAATTTTACCAAAAATAATGTATTTAATTTACAAATAGTAGTTTATGAACCAAAAATTTTCGGGATCCCGAAATTTAATTCTGGAACGTTAAAACAAAAGCACTGGTTTTTAATATAAGACACGGCCTAAGTTATTTTTTTTTTAATTTCGGGACCCCGAATATTCAGTCAAATCCCGAGTTATAAATTTAAAATGTAGCCACCACCAAATTCATGGTTTTGCTTATCAATTCTAAACTGCATATCATTTAGCAACTACACTAAAATGCAATAACAATCAAAAGTAATGCAATCAAACTCCAGCAAAAAAACAAATTCAAAAATATCTTTAAATATGTAGAGTTGTGCAAAACTTGTCACATTTTCTTTCATGAAAGTGAAAACTTGTTGCACCGCAGTTGTCACGAAGCAACAAAGTTGTATGCATAAGAGCAGGAGACTTCCAGTGCAATGACATTCGCACAGCACCCAAAGGTCTCCAGCCTTCTGTATGTATATGTATTTGTAATATAATCTATATTGTACATACAAACACATAGATATATGCAAGCAGCAAATCTATAAAGTTGCTTCATCATTGTGGTTGTCTAAGTTGTTCTTTCCAATGCACAATGCAAGCAATCACGACTATTATTCCCCCATAGAGCGTGTATGTGTGTGCGTGTATTTGGGTGTTTATATACTTCTCTATGTTTGTATACTTCTTTTCTGCAATTTGCCAAACAAAAACTTTAACTTGAAAATTTTACATTTACTTTCCCTCCTATTACTGCTCCAATCTCCCTCCCCCCCCTCGATGCTTTCTCATCATATATCACTTTAGTCGTCCTTCAGGCCCTGAGTGGTGTCAAAGTGCGCCGAATGGAGTGTATGGCTTTCGGGTGAATAACTGTATGTGCATACATACATACTGTCATACTGGTATGTGAGTATGTGCATTGTTGTGGGCTATTCTTGTAGTTTTTGTTGTAGTGGTAATACTGGTTGCTGCCTGCAACAACAACAATGCAACAAACTAGCAGCCACTCGTTGCAACAATTGGGTGTTGTTATGGTCGATGCTCTGCTGCATCTGTTGGGAGGTTGAAAGATGGGCTTGCTGAATGATGGCCTAGTTGTTTGCTAGTTTTTCCCTACCAAATTCTACGTCAGCAACAACAACAACAACAGCAACAGAAGCAGCAGCAACAAGAGCAGCAAATCAACAATTCTGCACTTGGTTATTTGATTTGGGCAAATGCGAGCAAATCGGAGCAATGTGTGCTGTGCTGTGCTGGGCAGTGCTCTGCTGCGAGTTGTACGCTCTCCTATGCACTTCTGTGCGCCTGATTGGAGTATTTTGGTTTTAAAAAATTTTGGCAATTTTTATTTCAAAATTTTTAGGCCAAATTATGAATTGGAATTTTTTGTCAAAGACACAAAAACTCTAAACATTTTGTTTCATTGAAACACACACGACATAAGAAGAAGAAAATAAAAATATAACAACTGTATCAGCAAAGAAAAAGAAACAAAAAGAAGATACTTTGTAAGTTTAAAAATGCATTACGTACAAACGCACGCATTTACGCTTGCTTAGTATGTCCATTTGCTGTTTAGAAAGTTCATACTCTGGGGAAATGTATGCAGATGCAAAGTCCCACTTTGGGTAGCCTACGCAAGCCATTTGTAATGGAATGTAGATAAACAATGCCGACTCTTTACTATTGATTGAAGCTTAAGCTTTTGAAATCTATTGGAAGTTTTTGGGAGCTTTTAATAGCTTTTAAACTTTTGACAAGTCCCAAGTTTACTTAGCTGTGTAAAGACTAAATAAGAGAAAAACATTAATAAAACGTAATTTCAAACAGCTTTTTGACAGCTTTCGAAAGTCCATGTGAGCTTTCCTAAAAAATGCTTGGAGCTTTAAGCATATTTGTAGATTAATTGTTAAAAAGCATAAGCTCCATAAATGAGATTAGCTTATGTGAATGCCTTGGAGCTTTCAACAAATCCTTAAAGCTTTCGTGGTAAGACCAGAAGTACTTGCTTAAAAGTTCTGGCAACATAAACATCAATGTAAAAACTATATTACCAATAACATTTTTATTAACGAAATAATAAATTAATACGGTAAGAAGTTAAGGACTGTGGACTCTCATAAAAAAATACATCTTCCTTATTTAACTGTACTGCTTGGATTATATGCTACAGCAGAACGAAAAAAGAAGTCACATTATATTGAGTTGTTTATTATCGTTGGGCTGAGCAGAACTCATTCAGCCGCAAATTATTCCAACCATGGGTCGTTGTTCTCGTTAGGTCATAATCCAATCTGCCGTCCAAGAAATGCGTTGGACCGTACAAGAACTGAACAAATTAGGTCTATGTGAAATTCAATACAGCGGCCATATAAACGCACACATTTTGGTGTTGGATTTAAGGTGGATAGAGACTCCATCGCCTAGTATTGACAATAACTCCGGTGGATGACCCCTCGCCACAATCTACATCAAAACAAATTCTTCCACACATTCCTGATATGCGCCGCCATTATTATGAGCGCTACCTAAGCCAAGACACTTGGGGACTTAAACGCCAAAGTAAGGAAAGCAGGTATTTCAAGTACACGACGATTCAACCCCAAGAAGGTTGAGTCAGATCAATTTTCTCAGGATCCAAAATGTCTATAGTACTATCATAGAAAACTTACCATGCTACTACCCCTGATCAACTCAATCAATTCAAAAACAAATCGGTTATGTTGTGATACACTGAAGATATGTATCCAGAACTATTAACGCTCGTATCAACTCGGAAAACTGTCTTACTTCTCATCCGAAGCGCTGTTAAATTTTTCCTTGGTGCGGGTCCCAAACCCAGCGCACAACCTCGCCAGGCGAGTAAGTTTAAAGTGTTTTACACATTTATATAGCGAGCCGCTTGCTTCAAAGACCGACGCCAGCTCGCAGGTGCACCTTTGGTCAATAGGCGCTGCAATTAAACTTCAGCAGACCCTTAAACCGAATAAGTCGGAGTAACTCCACTGAAGCTTCCTCTTTCATTAGTCGTGACCAAAGGCTCCACACGGGTTGGTTACCGCATCTTGCACAAGGATTGCTCACGTTTCCAGGGTGTGCGACGTGGACGCAAGAGTAGGAATTGAGTATAGCCTCGCAACTGTAAAAACTGACCCAGAAGCTTGACTATACCCCATATACATCCCACTCACTATCATGCTGCAGTGAAAATAAGCAAACGACAAACGGAAGACCAGACTTCTCCATCCTGGTAAATGCCAGTGAAAATGGGACATCCGGATATAGACAACCCTAGTCCCTGATCGATGAGGATAAAAAACTGGTTTCAACCATGAAGAGGTTGGAAGAATGAAAAAGCGAATGGAGCTGGCAACCTACCGGCTGAGCTATTCACCTACGACCGTGAAAAATTGGTAATATGCCTCAGCTATGGTCGAACATTAAGTTTAACTTAAGCGTGTTCTGACCAATCAATAACCAATCAATATCGCATATAAGGTACAGTCGAGCCACAGAGCGGACATAGACCTGCTAAGTTCGCCTTCGCCAGATATTCACGAAATCTTGGAAAAGACTAGTGAGACGTCAGCTTTGAACACCATCAAGAGCTACTGTGAAAAGAGTAGGCAACAGAAAAGTAGAGTCTTCTTTCGACGAACCGAAAGCAAACAAAATAAGTTATTTATCATTCGCGTCCTTCAATATGGTGCAGTGAGCGTGGACGACATCGTTTGAGTTGACTTTTGTAGTCTCCGGGAAAAACGTTTTGCGAACCAACGAGTACTGCAGACAATAGAGCGATGAGTACTGTCCGAGTGTTGCGTTGACATTCTTCAGCGATTGAAAAGATAGCGGCCACACTGGCTACGTCATATCTTGCGTCTGGTTAAAAGCACTCCTGCTTTGAAAGTACCCGATGGTGAAAGCAGAAGAAGTGAAATACCTTCACACCGTTGGAAATACCAGATGGAGAGCGACGTAGCACAACTTAGTGTTTCCAGCTAACGCCAAATGGGTAGATAAGAATAAATATTTTATTTGATTATAATTGCTTGGCGGTCGCGGTAGCCGAGTGATTAGCATTGCGTACTGACATTCGGAAGACTCGGGTTCGTATCCCGGTGCCACTAAAAATCCAAAAACTTATGGAAAATTAATTTAAATGAAAAAATAAGTTAAATTTTCTAATTGCGGGTGCCACTCGGAGGGGAATATAAGCCCCGCTGAGTGTATTCCGGACATTAAATACAGGCTCTTCATAAAAAAACCCTCAGCCATTCGGAGGCTGTCTCTTCATTTGTTGGAAAAAAACATCCAGATGAAAAACTACAAATTGGAGGAGGAGCTGGGGAGAAAAAATCACTTCAGCGGCTATACAGCGCCAATTATTATATAATCGATTAAGCTGTAACTACGTGAATGAAAAAAAGTACACGTT